AGTGCAGGTATTAATAAACACATATAAAAACACATAATATTAAAGTTACATGCTGTACATTGTCCCCCATAGGTTAATGCTTAAAGCACACTTTACAGGATATGTCCATATTATCTAGGCTTATCCTTCCCATTGGGTTGCAACAAATACAAGTGGGCAAGTGTAGTGGGATTGCAAACCTATTTCAAAAAATATTTTCCCACGCTGACGTCTTACGGGCTCCGTATTTTGCCATCACAATGTCTAATGCCGATGAAAATAGAGAAGCGACACGTTTCCTCACTAAGTGCAGTATGTTTAAAATTTAGTATCAATTTTACAAGTCCTTAGGAAATCTACCATAATGAACGTTAATGGCCTTTTCAACATGTTTTAACTTTATTCTTAAAAATCAATAAAAATTGGTTTAATACGTTTTCTGTGGTTTCCATTGTTAGTAAATACTGCAGGCGGTCTCGAAGTTGTGTCTCACTGAATCTTTACCAGCATTTATCCAAACATACTGACTCGTTTTCAAGCTTTGAATATGGTTACAAGATGTGACACCGGTATGTGTTTTCGAATTGATGTTACATATTTTCGCAGCAAGGCTGGGCCACCCGACGCGTATCTCTATTCGCTTGTCATTATGAAATACGACTGGGAGCAAACAGCACAAACGCAATTTGGTGCTCTTGGCAAAATGTTTGTATGCAAATAGAAACGATTGTTTAGTAACAGTCATTTAAACAGAACGTCCTGGAAAACTGACTAGTGGAGGCTGACATCGGCAGGTCACCTGTATTGGTCCTGACTGGTAACAGTCCATCCTTCCATTTGCTGAGGGGGGGGGGGGGGGGTGGTCCGGAGCCTATCACAAGGCAGGAAACAACCCAGGATCGCAGGACACACTCACACGCCATTCACTCACACCTACAAGCAATTTGTAACTTCAATTACCCAGGAGTACCCAGAGGAATCCCCTGCCGACACGGGGAGAGCATGCAAACTCCACACACAGGGACCCATGGTAGAGACTTGAACCCTGGTCCCAGAGGTGTGAGACCTCAGCACTAACCATTGCAGCACTGTGCCACCCTATAACAGTACCTCTAAACCATAAAACGTGCTTTTGTGGAGCACAAGTCTCATGGTCACTGGTCTTTCCTTTAAAAAAAAACACCCCCTGTGCTGCCCAAGAGCTGCGATAATGCAGTGCGCAGTGTGCCTGAGTGTGCGTGTGTGATTCTCCACTGGAGCTGGGCGCCAGTAGCAGATAGCAGAGGCATTATCTTCAACCATGACTCATGTTGCTGTTTGTATCCAGTCTGCGTCCGATGAAAATCTTTTTTTTTTTTTTCCAAAAAATGTGTTTTAGTGGTAAAAGGAAAAGCAACTTCTTGACTGCAAAACAGGAATTATAGTAATGCTGCATGTATCTGGCATGGCTGTTATTAACGTCACTGTGTCTGTCGGTCACCTCCGGCGTCACCTAGATTATCTAATCATGCGTGAGGGTGTGTGGCAGAAGTGCTTCGCTATTGCTCAACTTTACTGGATATCCCCACGCAGCTGTAATACATGTGGGTATGGATGGCTGCCTGTCATTCCTCGGGGGCAGGAGTGATGTCATTTCCTGTTGGACTGCAGTAAGCACACACATGTGCGTGAGAGTATTGTGAAGCGTATGAAGCAGGACCCCTCCGTCTCTGGCAGTGGGGCGACCTTGTGCCTTATGTAACATGGCACCAAAATTAACTGTGTTATGTGTATGTATGGGGGCAGGGGCCGGTATCTTTTGGGGGGGGGGAGTGTGGGGACTCGTAGAGTGAGACCAGCTGTTTATTTTAGGTATGACCTGTTTTATTGTGCAGTTCAAGTCCTTGTTAGGAAACTGGTATTACCATGACAATCCCTGCACCACCCTGCCCCCCCCCCACACTCGGTGTGGCTGTCGTCTGCCCAGGCTCCTCTACTTATCTGCTCCATGAAAGCAGCGATCCAGACCGCCGGGCTCCCGGTGAGAACGTGGCAGACCGCACAGGGCCGAGTGGAATTCGCGACGGATGGAATGTACCACTCGAAATTTAGGGCGGAGAGGGAGGGCCGTGTCCCGGTGCACACACGTAGACACACGCACGCACATGCACGCACACACACGCATACGCTGGGTGCCTGACCTCTGATTCCATTCAGGAGCCAGCAGAGCAGGTTTTACAGGCCGTCACACAGATCCGCCGGTCTGGCTGCATCTGTACCCCTGGCATCCAGGTTAGACCTCCTCTCCCCTGCTAGGTGTGTGTGCGCCTGTACGGTGCAGTCTGGCTCCTGCCTAGACCTCCTCTCCCCTGCTAGGTGTGTGTGCGCCTGTGCGGTGCAGTCTGGCTCCTGCCTAGACCTCCTCTCCCCTGCTAGGTGTGTGTGCGCCTGTGCGGTGCAGTCTGGCTCCTGCCTAGACCTCCTCTCCCCTGCTAGGTGTGTGTGCGCCTGTGCGGTGCAGTCTGGCTCCTGCCTCTCTCTGATTCATGTCCCCCTCTCGCTTGCTCGCCACTTCCTTCGTCTCCAGTTGCTTCCCTGCCAGTGTGTTTGGGGGGTGGCCCAGCGGATGATGCCATGTCAAACTTGTGGTTGCTGTAATCCACCACACACCCCCCCCCAGCACCACCACTATTGCCTGTGTATGGCAGTGCACAGGGACATGTGTCCCCGCCCAGCAGAGGCCTCATTGCGTTTGTCACAAGATTGTGTTTGGGGCCGTGGTCACATTTTGACCCCCCAGCCTCCTCCCCCCCGCCCCTCCAACCCGGAGAATGGGAAACAGCTGTCTCTCAGTGTAAGTTGAAAGTGTGCTGGGGGTAACTCAGGGAGGACTGAGAGGCACAACACCGTGTCTCAACCCTTCCCTCAAAAATCTTGCAACACTACCGGCATTGCAAAACGAGAATACATGCAGAAAAACCACAACAAGCACTGACGTAGAGAGTGATGAAACTCCTACAGACTGCTGAATGCAAAACGCAAGTCAAGATGAAACATGAGAGCGGCGAGCTGTGTTTATTCTGTGGTAGTCAGTATTAGCAGATCATGTGTGTTGTTATAAGACTAACTGACCATTATTGGTAACCGGAGTGTGTGACCAAAGAGTGTCAGGCTTTGGTGTCTGGTGCTATAAGAGAGGGCTACATCTAGTTATGGTTTTACACCTCTTCTGTGTCAGAAAGCTGCCATCCAGCAACCTGTATCATTTCGTCTGTTTTTTGTCTGCTTTCGCCCATTTTCGTCTGCTCTTGTTTTCATCTGCACTTGCCTGTTTTCATCTGCTTTCTCCCTTTTTCATCTGCCCAAGCCTATTTTCTGCTCTGATTGTGTGTGTTGTCTATGTCAGCATCAGCTCCCCTGAATCTGCAAGGCCCTGAGTTTTCTGGCTCTGTTTCCCAAAGGGGCCCCCCTCTTAAAGCCTATAGGAGGTACGTAACCTGATTTGCCCCAGTAATGCACCCAGTCACATTAAATGAGTTGAAACGCTGTAAAATCCCACCAGCTGAATGTGTGCCTGCCTGTCTGGGAGGGCGGCCAGTGTTTGCCGGGTCTCCAGGGGCAACGGAGCGAACATCCTCCATTTCTTTATTTATTTCTTTGGCTCAGTAATGAACTTCAGCTGGACCTGGTCCCGTGCCATCAATGTCACAAGTCACCTTTTTGAGGCCACCAAGCACCTCCGATGTACATCCTCCCGATTTTACAAGTTGAGCCTCTTCATCTGCAGGGTTCTGGCGGGGCTGGGGACGCGTCGCACTCGTTGGGAAGACGCCTCCCCACACAGTGGCAGGTCCACACACTTGCTTCTCCTGTCATTTCATCACATTCATTTGCCTGAGGCCATTCTCGGTTAAGCAGAATCCCAGAGCTGTCTGTGCAAAGTGGCTCCTGATTGGATGGCTCGTGGCAGGCCTATTGTTAGGCTGACGCAGGAGAGAAATCCTGTAGGTCTCTCTCTCTCTCTCTCTCTCTCTCTCTCACACACACACACACACACACTCAACATTGTCAGAAAACAAGGATCCTGGACTGCAGAGACATGCAGTTCCAGACTCGTGTTGCTGCAGTGTTTCATGCTGACAGACCCACAGCACGCGTGTCCCTGTCTGGCTTTGCCAGGTCCCAAGCCTGCTCCGGTGCTCCACCAACAGCACCAGGAAGTAAGTGGAGCCCAGTGGAAATCCAGTCTGGACTGGACTGGGGCCAGTGCGTCTGGCACTGGGTTGAGGGAACCCCGGCAAGCCTGTACACTGGATCACATAAAAATCCTGCGGTTAACCTGTGTGATACGTCAGACTGTGCCTTTGATCTCTGCTCTGCTTTATGAAAGGAAAACTAATCACCAAACTAGTTCTAAACAGTCTACCAGTAACATACTTTTCTTTAAATGTGTTAGAGGTGTGATGCACAGGTTTGTGCCTTGTAAATATCCTGTGCCTGTGTACGAGAGCCAGTCTGCTTCCTATCAGACGCTGAGCTGCTCTGTCTGGCGCCATCGGCCCATATTTCCCTTAAATGTGGGCCTTTAAGTGTTTAACATAGATTTGAATCCTGAATTTAAGTCCCGCTAAACGCTGGTGGATGTCTGCTGCTGAATTTACATCGGTACACTTTTCGACCCGCTTTCAGATACCTGCTCGATGCTCCCAGGATTTCATATTGGGGAGGTTTGTGTTTGAGTGTGTGTGAGGGACTGTTTATCACTTTGAGTGGATTTAAACTGGGTGCCAATTGAACGATGCAAGCAAATAAGCATTTGGTAATTACGCATTCCATGGAGGGAAAAAACCTTTATGTGCATAGCTCATGTTTCAGTCTGCCGTGTTGTTCATTTTATATAAAACATGAGCCAGTGGAGCTGAGCCACTGCTGCGGAGGGTGCGTCGTAGGGACTCTCAAACTTTGTGAGCGCTTCCCCTTCGTCGCTGCAAAGGAGCCGGCGGCGTCGTGTCTCTCCAGGCCCCTTGACCCTAGGCGGGTCCCCGCCAAAGCACATGTCTGCGGCTCCTCCCTCCCGCTTCGCCTTTACGCAGCAGATACAAGCGGCGCAGTCTGTCTCCGGGAAGGCATGTGAAGCCAGTGGAAAATACCGATCCGGTTTACCCAGCTGATTGTAAACGTGTTTATTTTATTTAAGGAAGATATAGCTAATTTTGGTGCCCTTAGTCTGTGCCTCCGTGTTGGCATTTACACTGCTACCCTGGGCAACTATATGTTGACACAGCAAACTGGAAATAGTTCGAGGTTTATACGTACGTTTTTTTTTCTTCTTGATAAGTCGAGTCGGATCCGCTGTTTCTCACCTCGGTTGACTTCGTCTCGTCTCTCTCTGTTTGAGTTGTTGTGGTTTATTTGGCAAGAAACCCGGATTGCCTTTAAAACGTGGATATAAAACAATTGATCGATACAGAATATCTTTATCGGATACATACTGTAGTGGGAAACTTTTTTTCAACGGGATTTAAACTGTTGTACATATAAATATAAGGCGGAGTTTTGCACCGGATCGCCGGCGTCCCCGGTCTCCCATTTTGCTGACTAGTCGCACTCCTCGGTCCATGAGAGATGACTGGTGCGGAGTGAGCAGAACCTCGTCTCGGGCCCCGGGCCCCATGACCCTGGGTGGCTTGACTGCTACGAGGCGCTCCGCGGCGGCGGGCTCCTTCTGCTCCTGCTGCGGGGCCAAGATGATGCCGTATTTCTGCGAGAACGCGGTGGTGTCTCACAGCCAGATCAACCAGATGTAAGTACCTCTATTCTGAGTACCGGGCACACGCTCAAAAACAAATCTCTTAGCTTAAATCTATTGACATTGAATCTACATTTAAAACATTAAAAGATCTTTCCTATAGCCTACAAACCCAAGTCAGAGTGCATTTAATTCGTGTGTGATTAGAAGAAATGAACAGCTGTACAGTACAGACGGGCACATGCGGCGTTGTTTTTATCGGCACCTGACAAAGTGTGTTTCTCTGCGGATGCTTTGCCCAGACTCGCGTTCCCTCCCGTACTGTATGCGGCTAAAATCCTGTGAAGTGTATCATCGTGGTATTTCTCGGACAGCGGATGTGATGGCGTTTAGCTGAACTTCCTCCCTGTTGGGAAAGAACGTGCGTGGGAGTCCGGCCGCGTGCCGGGAGATGGGAGGCGTCTGACTGGGAAGCTGGCATCCCATCCGAAATGCACGTCAGTCCGTTTAAACTAAATCCACTTATGCTCCCCGCCCCTTTGTCTTTGTTAGAGTTTTTTAATCTGTTGTACAGAATAATGAAAATCGGAGAATATTTGGCGACGTCTTATGATGTATTTTGTTGAGCGTGTGTTTTTAAATAAAGGTTTTTTTGAGACATTAAGTAAGCAGACCGCGAGGAACTTAGGTACGTATTGTATTACACAAACATTCAAGCAGACGAACCATTAAAGGTCAGCTGTTTACAGTGCCTGGTGCAGATTAACACGGGTGTTGCTGTCAGCATCACCGCGTCCCTGATCCGCTTAGTGTCTCCGCAGCGTGTGGCGCTGCCGTCTCTCAGCACGTTTCCTCCCGCAGTGACACTGGTCCAGAGACCTGTACCCGGGCTCGGTCCTTAATGGCGATGAGTCACTCCGTAACGAGCACCCAGAACATATGTCATGCAAGGTTTTCAGCCGCCCCCCCCCATACTCTGCCTCATTCCTTAATTAAATGATTGAATTGATTGTATGAGATTTATGCTCTTTCTAAAGTGTTGCTATCAATCGGTAAAACAAACCTTCAGTTTCTCAAGAGAATCTGAGGGGAGTCTAATCCTCTATGAATATTCTGCGGGGGTGTTGCTCTGTGGCCATTCACTGGTGTGTGCCCCCACCCTGGTCGCTTTCGTAAGAAATGTGCAAACTTCCTGGGTCGTCGTACACTTGGTTGATGGAACGTGAACTGGGCGTGGACTCCCCAGGGATCCTCTGACCTGCGTCATCGGGCAACTGCACCTGGTGGCCTGAGGCGTTCAGCCCGCTCCTGTGTCTGAGTTCCGCGTGCGATTACCCGGCTCGACTCTGAGCTGGAGGCCCAGCCTGGAAGTTTGAGGCACAACCTGCATGGTGTGCAAGCGCAGATGCTGAGTAAGGGTGTGTTTGTGTGTGTGTGTCCCTGCTGATCCAAGCATACCGATGGCCCTAATGAATTTACCAGTGTGTTTTATAGATTGCTAAGATCAAATCAGCACGCTCCAATTTTTTCCCACATACTTAAGCATTTTTTCCCCCTGAAGTCAGCCCTCCATGCCGGGTAGCAGGGATGGCAGGAATCAGCGCTCGCCGGAGTCTAAGGAGGGGAAGAAGCTCTAGGGAAAAATCAGAGTGGAGAGAAGGTTTCCGGAAAGGTGGAAGGTCTAAATACGGAACAGTCGCGCTCCTCGTAATTTGTGACGGGACGTAGCATAGCCGCAGGAAGTGTTACTCGGAAACCAACATTGTTTCCAGTGATTGAAGCTGGTCCAGTGCGGTAACAGTGGCACATATGAGTCTGAGAGCAGCATGTTTGTGTTGGACTGTGAAAGCGCTCGCCTCTCAGTCCAGCCTTGCTGTGTCCTCTCAAGTGCCAGTAGGTCACCCCTTTCCGTATTTCCTTGTCCGTGAATCTCCCTGGGAAATTCCCCCTCTCCTCCTGAGAATAGTCATATTTCTCTGATTGGCCAAGGAGCGTCTGGACCAGACCAATGAGCAGAAGTGGGGAGGGGGGGGTCTTGTTCTGTAGCAGCTTGTGAGGTCCTTGTAGGCTGAGGTTCTGGCCAGTAAGAGGCCAGTTCTGGTCATGGGTCCCTCTGGGTGTTTAATTTATCTCCCTCTGTTGGCCCCTGGGCCATTTTGAGTTTGTCATGAGTTGTCTCCCAGGGCGATATAATTCCACGCTCTTCGTTTCTGGTGACCACCCCCCCCCCCCGACCTGCCCTACTTCCACTATATTTATCTTCTTTCCCTGTGGCTGACTAATATGGGCAGGAGCAGGTGGGGGTAGAGAGGTCCCACGTCTCTGCTAGTCAGTCTCGCCCCATCCATAGTGATGACTGAGTCTGTGCCCTAACAAGTCCCGTCTGTATATGATGCCAGTTTAACCTGTGGTGCGTCGGATTGGCCACATGTTGTCAGTCACTGCCTGCTTTAGACCAATGGGAGCCAGCAGATGGCCAGAGAAGGGGCAGTTGTCAGTGACCGCTCACTGTGATTTTCGAGATGGGGGATGCCTTTGCACGGCTGGGCTTTGGAGAGCTGAAAATGGGTCAGTAAAATAAAAACCTTGCTTGCCCCTTTACATCCAGGGATGACCTGGCCTTCTGTGTCAGTCATGGGATCCATTTCTTTGGGTCTTACCACCTGCTTGTTGTGCAGTCATACTGAAGCTGATTGTTAAACAATTATACAGTTCGGAAAGAGACCAGGAAATGAATGCAGAACAAAATACTGTCATGTTAAACCGGACCCCATCTTTATTAAACTAGCCGTCCACCATCTGTCAGTCATGACCTCTGAGTTTTAGGTGATCGTATAGAACAACAGGAAGTGGGGGAGAGGACAACAGGAAGTGGGGGAGAGGACAACAGGAAGTGGGGGCCAGGGTCGGGTTTTGGCACCGGGAAGGGGATTATGGTATTGTTGACTGTCCCCACTCTGGGTGTGACAGCTGTGGTTTGCAGCACTTCATATTGCCTCATTTCCTGAATGTGACTTCTGAGAAGTGGACCTTGCTGAGGATGCTGGACACCCTTCTTCTGGTTATTTGTTAGTTTTGCAATTTTTCATTCTCGGGCAGTACAGTGCCACTGGTAGCATGGGGAGGTGAAGGAGACCAACTGGAGACCTTCAGGGCGGGTTGTGCTGGCACCGGTCCGCAGTGGAAGGAGCTGCCAGAGGCACTGAGGTTTCTGGGTCAGCGCCACGAAGGGCCCTTCTGCTGTACCTTTGAGCCAGGTGCTTATCCCAAACGTCCTCTGGCTGCGTAAATGGAAAAATACGCAAGACGTGCAGGAAAAGCAGATGGATGGAGCAAATGAATGAAATAATATGGAGCAGTAAGCTTTGGCCCTGCATGTGTCACAGGGACGGATACTGGCAGGCTCTGTGTTGGAGGCGCGTGATGCAGCTTCGCCCTTGGGTTTGTCCTGGCTGTGGAGTGAGGCGGTGCTGTTATGCAGGTCTGTGTAGAAGGCTGTGGAATAGGGCCCCTCCCCCAGCAAATCGTGGTGTGCACCCTCCGTGGACCAGCTTTATGGGACAGAAACAGCCAGTGAGGATGGGGGGTGCAGGGCGGAATGGGGGGAGTGCTGATTTTCTCTGACTGTCCCCCGCCCCGCTTTTCTCAGCATCAGTGAGAGCTTCCTGACCGTAAAGGGTGCGGCCCTCTTCCTGCCCCGTGGACATGGCTCCTCCCCTTCCTCTGTGTCGCACATCACACAGCGCTGGAACAAACACACAGGTAACCATGCCGACGGCTAGTCGCGGTACAAGTACGCCGCTGTTGGGTATTTTAGTTCAGGCAGATTTTCATGTCAGCTATGACAGAAAGATTAGCAGTACAGGATACTGTCAGGGTGAACGTGTACAGTCAGCTTTCGCCGGGGTGTTACATTGAGTTGGATTGTAAGAACAGTCACTCTGGATGGCGCCTACTTGAGGAGCTTTCCGAATGGGTTACGCTTACCTAAGATGCTTTCTGATTGGATGGTGCATACCTGTGGAACTTTCTGATTGGGTGGTGCATACCTGAGGAGCTGTCTAATTGGGTGGGTGGCGCTTACTATAAGAGCTCTCTGATTGGGTGGGTGGCACTTGCCAGAGGAGCTCTCTGATTGGATGTCATTCTCACCGCCCCTTATGTGGTCCCTCAGGTGACCTCCAGCAGCACCTGCAAACCATGTTCACTCTGCTGCGTCCAGAGGACAGCATCCGCCTGGTAAGTCACCCCCCGCAGCGTTTGCCGAGGTCGCTGCTGGCCTGGTCACATGCAGAAATGAGCTGTTATAATAACCCCCGCAGGCGGTGCGGCTGGAGAGCTCCCACCCCCAGTGCACGCGCTACATGGTGGTGGTGTCCACCAACGGCCGCCAGGACACCGAGGAGAGCGTGGTGCTGGGAATAGACTTCAGGTCCAGTGACAGGTCAGCTAGTCTGGGGGGGGGGTGCCTTATCTGGCAGCTGAGTGTGTATGTGGGTGTTATCTGAAGGCTGCGTGCGTGTGTGTCTCTTATCTAACGGCTGTGTGTGTCTTACAGCGCGTGTACTATTGGCTTGGTGCTGCCCCTGTGGAGCGACACGCTAATTCACCTGGATGGAGACGGGTAAGTAATCATCCCTGTCAATCTCTCTGTCTGCCTGCCAGCCTACCTGTGGCAGTGTGTATTTCACTGTGTGTGTGTGTGTGTGTGTGTGTGTGTCTCTGCGTCTCTGACAGTCTGCCAGTGTTTTTGTCTCTGTCTTCCAGTGTGTCTGTCTGCTATTGTCTTTCTGTGTCCCTGGCCCTGTTCACATCTGGTATTGACATGCGTCCTGGGTGTTCCGATCACAAGTGGACAGCAGTAATTACCAGTGTGAACGCACCCAAAACACATTGAAAACGCACTGAGATCCGATTGCACAAGCCAAATTTGGAGGTGGTCTGGGACGCATATGGCCACATTCTTATAACAGTGTGAATGTGTCCCGCATTGAAGGACTTCCTGTTCGGCTGACGTCCACGTGTGACCAGAAGTACGTACGCATTAAACGTGCAAACAGTATTTAACACGTGATTTTTCAGAATGTATGTCAGTGCAGGATGGGCCGGTGTGTAGTAAACTGCATTGGGTACAACAACATCACCAAAAAAATAAGTTTGAATCTACTGGGAAGTTGATTTCATATCGGACTGTCGCAACCTACATATAAAGAGTGACCCCCTGGACTTCGAGGAACCTGGGGCAGGGATGGGGCAGGACAGGGTGGAGACTTTCTGATCATTGTAATTCAATCATCTTCCTTATCACCCTAGAGGTGCCGACTGGAACCCCCATTCTCTCCCTGGCTTCCCCCCTGATCATTAATAGCTAACACTGTCTGTATTCACACGATCAACCAAGAACATTGGGACATCTTTACTACTTTTCCTTACAGCGTCAGGTGTGAAAGGGCGTGTTTAACGCTGTCCGCTTGCGATCGCTTCACCCAGGACACGCGTTAAGGTCAGGTGTGAAAGGGCGTGTTTAACGCTGTCCGCTTGCGATCGCTTCACCCAGGACGCGCGTTAAGGTCAGGTGTGAAGGGAACGGAGCCTCTGACACTCTGCCCTCTTTCTCTTACAGGGGTTTCAGTGTGTCCACAGTCAACAGAGTCCACATCTTCAAGCCTGTATCAGTGCAGGCCATGTGGTGAGCTTATCACCCTGCCCCTGTTCCTCTACCCCCACGTCCTCCCCAGCGCCCTCATAGAACCCGCATGCCCCCTGTCCTCAGGTCCGCGCTGCAGTCCCTCCACAAGGCCTGCGAGGTGGCTCGCTGCCACAACTACTACCCAGGCAGCCTGTTCCTCACCTGGCTCAGCTACTACCAGAGTCGCGTGGCCTCGGAGCAGACCTGCATCAACGAGTGGAACGCCATGCAGGACCTGCAGTCGCACCGTGCCGACTCGCCCGTGCTCTTCACCTACGTGTGAGTGACCGCCCACCGAGGGTCTAAATGTAGCAGCACTGATTTACTGATGGGGGGGGAGGACAGGCAGGGGCAGGTGGTTGGGGGGGGCGCTCTTAGAGAGAGTGTCAGAGACGGCATGTAGGGCGCTGAAGTTATATTTACTAGAGAGAAAGTCCGAGTCCTGCTGCCAGGGAGTGACATGGGGACAGAATGGATTCTGGGCCCCCACTTTGGAGTGAAAAGTTCTGTCAGAATATTGTACGGAATATCATAGGCTGGGTGGAAGAGAGGAAGTACAGGGAGGAATGTGGAGTGAAGGACAGTGTTTTAGGAGCTGTGCAGGGGGGACCTTACCTTACCGTGCTGGGGGACCTTACCTTACCGTGCTGGGGGACCTTACCTTACCGTGCTGGGGCTCCTTACCTTACCGTGCTGGGGCTCCTTACCTTACCGTGCTGGGGCACCTTACCTTACCGTGCTGGGGCTCCTTACCTTACTGTGCTGGGGCACCTTACTGTGCTCTACATGCTGCCGTTCCCTTGTTCCTGCTCGTGTGGCTTTCTCACACACAGCTGTCTCAGTAGTGTAACTCGGCTCAGGAAGTGTTTATCTAAGTGTCACTGTGGTTAGGGGTGTGGTCGTTTGGGAGTGCACAGGGTGTAAATATGTAAATATATTGATAAGGCAGTGTGACTGGTCTGCAGGCCAACGGAACGTGAACGTACTGAGAGGCTCATCAAGATGAGGCTGAGAGAGATCATGATGCAGAAAGACCTGGAGAATGTCACCTCCAAGGAGGTGGGTTTGGCTCCACCCCTGTTCCCCGCCAGCCCCTCCCCGAGGCCTTGTCCTCTTCCTTGCTGCATATCTCCTCACACTCATGGTTGGGTTAGCAGAGTCACAGGTTCAAAACCCCCCTCCCTGAGACTTCCACTTTCCTTCATTGACTGATCTGCCCCCTGCTGCCCAGATACTGAATTCACAGGCATTATTTTAATGATGAGTTAATGTGCTCTCCCACTGGCTAAACCTGCCCGTCCCCCCCCCCAGATCCGCACTGAGCTGGAGATGCAGATGGTCTGTAACCTGCGTGAATTTAAGGAGTTCATTGACAACGAGATGATCGTCATCCTGGGCCAGATGGACAGCCCCACGGAGATCTTTGACCACGTTTACCTGGTATCTGCACCATGCGCTTCCCCCCCCCCGCCCCCCCCAGCATTCATTGGTGTCTGCAGGGACCGTCATGAATGCTGTCCTCTCTCCCGTTTGAACAGGGCTCCGAGTGGAACGCTTCCAATCTCGAGGAGCTTCAGAACAGTGGGTTAGTGAGCCGCCCCCCCCGCCACCATGTGGCTCTTCCTCTATGCATGTGGACCTGCTGCGGTTAAACACCCCCCCCCTTTCCCCCCCACAGAGTGAGGTACATCCTGAACGTGACTCGGGAGATTGATAACTTCTTCCCCGGCCTCTTTGAGTACCACAACATCCGCGTGTACGATGAGGAGGCCACCAACCTGCTGGAATACTGGAATGACACCTACAAGTTCATCTCCAAGGCCAAGTGCGTCCATCTGTCCACATGCCTGCTTGTCAATGCCCCCCCCCCCCCCCCCCCCCCCCCACGCGTCATACCCCTAACACCCTCCTGTACGCACCTTAGGAAAGCGGGGGCCAAGTGCCTGGTGCACTGTAAGATGGGCGTCAGCCGCTCGGCCTCCACGGTGATCGCTTACGCCATGAAGGAGCACGGCTGGGACCTGGAACGCGCCTTCCACCACGTCAAGGAGCGCCGCGCCGTGGCCAAGCCCAACCCCTCCTTCATGCGGCAGCTGGAGGAGTACCAGGGCATCCTGCTGGCCAGGTGGGGGTGCTAATCGCCTCGCTTTTCTGTCGATCCCTCTCTCCCTCCGTCTCTCCCACACATTCCCTCTCCTCATCTTTCAGTTTCCATAGAGATGTCACAGATGCTTCTGGTCATGTGCTGTCAGTGGCTCCGGATTGTTGCGTGGGGCCCCACCCCCTACAGTATATTTGCCTCCACTCCTGGGTTTTTGTTTCCTCCGTTTTGTTCTGGCTTTTCCCGCTGTAACTTAGCTCTGCTGTGGCTGGTTTTTTTTGCATCCCTGATGCTGGTAAAGTGCTGTGTGACAGCTGTGTACAGGAGTGCCGTGAGGAGTGACACCCTCGCCGTTCCGGCTTTAAAGGACTTTGCTTCTCCCGTTTTCATTATGCAGCAAACAGCGGCACAACCAGCTGTGGCGCTCCCACTCGGACAGCGACCTCTCGGCGACACCACAGCGCCCCCGCAGGGTGCCCAGCAACAACAACAACGCTCTGCCCTCGCTGCCGCACTTCCTGGGGATGGCCGTGCTGCAGGCGCTGGCCGGGGAGGCCGCAGGGACCGTGGCGCCGGCAGACGAGAGCGAGCCCCCTGTCACGGGCAGCTCATCCGAGTCTAACAGCTTTGGCGGATCTGTGGGGACCCCATCCTCGCCGCCACTGGAGCGGCAGAAAGACCCCCTATGGCTTCCTCCGGCAAGTCCGCCTGAAGACGGGACAGGCGGCTCATCGCCGACACCCAACCCAGTGCTGCCTCTGCCTGTCCCTGGTCCTGCTGTTGAGCCGAAACTGGAAACCTCAGAACTGCAAATGGCGGCTGCCAGTCGGTCGCAGCCATCCACATATGTGCCTGAACAAAACTCAGAACCTCTTCCTGCATTTGAGCCTGAGCCTGCAGTTTCCCAAACCTCAGCCATAAGACCCAGCAAGTTGCTCATACCACAGTCTAAGGGCGAGCAGAATGGCAGCCCATCATCTGCTGGGACGCCCATGACAGTCAGCCCTCTTGGCTCGTCAGGGGGCAGTTTGCTCTTGGGTCCTCAGATCAGTGATGACAATAACAACCCCAGTGACACAGGTCTCACCGATGTCCCGGGGTCCTCCCACCTCAGTACGGATAGCATCGACTTCTTTAGTGCCCGGGAGAAGTTTCTTAGCCTGTCTCAGGATTCTCAGGCCTGCCTGCTAGCCGAACAGGCATCTCCCCGGACAGCTCATGCTAAAAGCCTCAGCCAGGACATGCAGCCTCTGCTGGAGGACCTCAACGGCATGCCAGGCCCCGAGAAGCAAGGCACGGTGAGCAATACTGGCAACCCTCGTGTTCTTTCCACTTTATTAGCAGTCAGAGGGTTACTGTGAGACAGTGCCACCTGCTGGAGAACACGAGTTTGCAGAATGTGTCTGAGTACAAGTTTAGTGTTGAGGTGTGTAATAATGCTTGCGCAGTTGTCCACTTGTGGCTGCTTTATGTCACCTTGTGTTAGAGGTTTAATCTGTGTCTGTGTTCCCCTTCTCCTCCCTGGCCCCCTAGCCTGAAGACGGCAGGGAATTTGCTTCTGAGATTAGTCCTGCCCCCTCAAGACCTCAGAAGGAGAATGGCGTCTCTGTTCGCCACATTGTCACTGAACTGGAGTCTGTGTCCTACACTGTGTCCCCTGTCAGCCAGCTGGGGCCCCGGGGCCCCCCTCAAGGGGAGGAGCCAGAGGTGGCAGGATGCCAGTCACCTTCCTCACATTCAGATTCCCCTTCCTTGCAGCCTCCTGATTTGCTGTCGGGTTCAGTGCGCCGTGCCACCAAACAGCTCGAGCAGAAACTGAAGCAGGAGCTGCATCCTTCTGGGCCATGCCTGCCCACCTCCCCCACGGCGATGGGGAGTGGCTCTGTCCCTGTCCCACAGGAGAAGGGGTGCAAAAATGGAGCATTTGTATGTCAGCGTGCAGGAATCCCTGACCTATATGCCTCCCATCAGCCCAACGTCACCGTGGATGGCCTGCTAGACTCAGAGCCGCTTCAGCTGACACTGCGCTTGGCAGGTGCGACGGAGCAGGAGACCAACACGGACGGCGAATTGGAGGAGACGCCCTGGCAGGCAGACCGACTGACGTGCAGCATCCAGGACCTGAAGAAGATCCAGGAGACACTGCGGGAGCTGCAGGCCTTCCTGCATGAGGCTGGAGAGTCAGGAGGCGTGGCCAAAGCCAACCCGGAAGTGCCTGATAGAGGGGAGGCGGAGCCTGACACAGACACCCTCCAGCTGAGAGCGGTGGAGCTGGAGGCCCGGATCCGGCAGGCAAGCCTGACCCCCCCGTCCTTGATGAAGCGCTCGGCCTCTCTGGCCGAACTGGATCGCCTGGAACTCTCCACCAATGACCTGAGCAACTGGGACCGCTGCTCTCCTCCAGCCCCTCCCAGCCCTTCACAGCCCCCGCTGGCTCCTGCGCCGCATGCCTGTCTCCACCCCACCCCGGACGATGCCTCCAAGAAGCAGTGTGTCCTGCTGCTGTGGCCCGACCCAGTGGTCTCTCTCAGGACTGAAGGTTCCCAGAACCCAGACCCTGATCCTGACAGCCCTCATTCGCCCCCCAACAGAGAAAGGGGCGGGGCACAGGATGCGTGCGTGGCAGTGCGGCTGCCACATGGCAGGACCCACCCCCTGCGGCGGCCCAGGAGGGCCGCGGACAAAAAGCGAGCAGCGGTGTTTGTGTACAACACCATGTGACCCATGTCATGTGACCCACCTCATGGCTCTAGTAATCGTGAAAGTGTATGGCCCACCTTCTGGAACGCTTAAGACAATCGTTCCCTGGGTTGTTAGACTGTCTGGTGGATGGGTGGGGGGGGGGGGAGGTTTGCTTTGGGTCAGACAGATGTGTGTTGTGTGTTTTAGTCTGCATGTGTGAGATGCCAGTAGGTCTGCACTGTGGCAGTTACAAAAGAGAGAAAATCAGAAATGGGCGTGGTTTCTCAAAATGTGCACTTTACTCTGTGTTTTATGTGTTTTTTTTACATGGGGGACTTTTTAATACAGTCAGGGATAGCTTGTGTGTCTTATGTATGTAATGTACAGAAATGTCAGGTGTTCCGATTTTTATTTTAAAAGCTTTTTCTTTTTTTATTGTGCTTACACTGTGACTATTAAAGATCTAAAATTAAATAAATCTGGAATAATATTTATTTATAGTTTTAAGTTTGAAGTCCGCAAACTTCGCGTCACTCGGTGGCCACAAGGGGGCAGAAAAGCCGTGGCGTCTTGAGCACGTGCAAAATCGCGAGTCACGAACCCGGCTACTTTAAGTGCCTAATTTAAAACTTGGCAAGTATTCAAAAGCTTAGTAATTTTGCTTCGTGTGAAATTGTGGTCTTAAGCATACCATTGCCTTATAGCGTGCCCTATCCTTTGACAAGAACATATTTTCTCCATTACCAGCCGCAGTTGTAATTTGTTATTGGTCCCTATATTTTGATTAATTTCTCGGTGCGCTATCTGGCGTTCCCCGAGAGAGGTGGCTGAGATGGAAACCAACACCGAAGAGCTGCGTCTAAAATAAACGAAGTCGCACAGCCAGACGTACGCTCCTCCCCGCTGCCTTCACTCCATTCTGCGGCTCCGTCGGGCACCAGAGCGTTAAAAGCGCCGGGAGAGACGGTAATCTGGGGCTTCCGAGGGGGAGTAAATACCATTTAAGACTGAATAACCAAATAGTAATAAAATCAGCTAAAACGTGACTGGGACCCATCGAGGTCAGTTCGCCCATTTGCGGCTCCTATAACGATACATTTAGCAATGCTATACTTCTAAAGTGCACCGTGACTTTTGCAAGCGGTTTTGCATGACTTAAATTGTTTCATATTATCTTTAGCAAGTCGGGCACAGTCGAGATTGTTTATAGGCGTATTAAGGAGGAAAAGCAAGAAATTTCTTTGTTTTGACAAGAAAAACTTAGGGTTGGTCAGGCCTGATCCGGCGACGTCGCTGGCGAGCAGCGGAGAGACGGATCAGATCAGTATTCCTATATTAGGCAAGTGACCTGGGTGTCACTGTGTCTCTGTTTGGAAGAGAGCAGCCCGAGCTGTCAGTAACCGCCGAAGGGAAGGAAAGGGGCTGTGGCTCCAGCGATCAGTCGCGCGCTGCCCAACTGGATCTCAGAACCGCGGACCGGTATTTCCAACCCGAGTCATGTGGTCCTATGCCGGTGTTCTGTCATAAAATACTACCTATCGAGGCGTGCTATCGAGCCTTTCCGCGCATGTGCAGTTTCACCGTTTTGGGATTAGGGTTAGGTTTTAGGGGTTAGGGTTAAGGTAAGGAGTTTGGGGGGGGTTAGGGTAAGAGTTAGGTTTAGGGCTGTCGATTAGCACTACAGTAGCATTTTTCGACAAAGGCAGCATATATCGACATAACACCTGTCTGGGATCTAATCCGTTCGAATGATTAAGTGGTCCAGTCCTTTGGGGCATAAATAAATGGCTCGGGGGTGCAGTAGTCTAATGCAATGAAATGCATGAAGTTCTCCTGACCTCGTGACTGAAACAGGATTTTGTTGGCGGGGATTGTTATTTTTGAGAAATGGTGCATTTTGCCCATGCCTTTTTCAGTGAAACCCAAAATGCTCGATAAAACATCCTTCTGCCCTTCAAGGTCAGTTACATAACTCCGGTCAGACTTGGATCTTCGAGTCTCTCCCCCCGCCCCTCCTGTGGCGATGAGTCGCAAGGTAGTCCGCCAGAGCAAGTTCCGCCACGTCTTTGGCCAGGCGGTCAAACCAGAACAGGGCTACGATGACATCCGCATCTCCAAGGCAACGTGGGACAGTGCTTTCTGCGCGGTCAACCCCAAGTTCCTTGCTATCATCGTGGAGTCCAGCGGTGGGGGGGCTGTGCTAGTCCTACCCCTCTCTAAGGTGGGTTGGTGGTGTGGCTTGCAGCTGCCCATGTGTGTGGCGCTGACTCCTGCTTACCCCACCGTGTGACATGGTGACCTCACAGCATAAGGATGACATCAGACCTCTGCTTGGCGACACAAAGATGGCTCACACACTTACATTGCCTGTTTCAGCTGACACTTTCACTATAATGCTTTCATCGGAGTGGTGGGCTGTCTGAGCAATGCCACTTTAACATGGTCAGAGAGCCCCTTACTATGTTCTGCAAGGGAGGGTGGGGGGGAGGCCCCTGGGATTCAGCCTGGGTCAGCCCGTGCATTAAAGCACTCCTCCCTGTGACTGTTTGGGTATGTTACTGTCATTGATAGTATATTTTACTGGGTATTGAGTTATTCCCATAAATATTAATAATGTTTAATAAGTTAGCCCCATAAGTGTTGGTGTATGTTACGGTAGATTAGGGTCACTGCTGGGAACTTCGACAGACTTGTGGCTGTTAGTATATATAGATCAGATTAAGTTGTCGTCTTCCTGCCTTGGGGAGGGACAGCGGTGCGGGGATCTCTCCAGGGGTCCCAGATGACCTTCATTACTGCCCGAGCAGTTTGAGCTTCATGCCTCTCTGAAGGCTGTTTTTTTTATCTGAAGCAGGATAAATCCGGAGAAAAACTGATGTGAGAAGCTTCCAAAGCACATCGATGTCACACTAAAGCGGCAGAATGCTGCGCTGCCAGGGCTGTCTCAGAGCCGGGGGGGCCTCCACTACCCTCGAGCTGCGGGTGACTCTGATGATTAATCGGTCCCCGTGCCAGGGGCCCGATCGGTTAAATGTGATATCGGTCTCCATCACCCAGATATGCAGGAGCAGAATGATTAACTGGTACCATGCCAGAGCAGGCGATGCCTTAATTAATTATTAGCTAATCAGAAGGCTCCATGGGAGCTATGCTTACTGTCCTGGATAACCGCATGTTCCGCAAAGCGAATGTTCTCTGAACGTTCCGGGTTGGGCGTGCACCTTAAACGCTCATGTGGACTTATAGGCTGTTGGTCTCAAATGCAGGGAGGTTCATATCTGATCTTAAAATCCCTTGATGGCTCAGTGCCTCACCAGCAGAAAGAACAAAAACTCATTTTTTCATCACCTTCTCGCTTAGCTATTAATAAATAAATCTGCGGGGGGGGAGGGGGGGTGGGCTTAGACAGAGACGCATCCCCCCAGGGTAGGATGACAAAGAGGCAGGGATGGAGGTGCAGTTACTGCATGTTAACAGGCAAAGGGAACATGGGACGCGTGACCCGCACAGCCACTATCATCATGTGCATGGCTATATAGCGCCTTTCCTGCCAGAATGACTCTAAATATGGGGCTTCAACATTATGTGTTGGTCTGGGGGGGGTGCCTCTCTGGGGGACACACTGTCACTGTCACTCTTACAGACTGGCCGCCTGGACAAGAACTACCCTCTGGTGACGGGACACACCGGTCCTGTGCTGGACATCGATTGGTGTCCTCACGATGACAACATCCTGGCCAGCGGCTCAGAGGACTGCACCGCCATGGTGAGGGGGGGGCAGGGGTCCTGACAGCAGCTCTGGCCCTAAGTGACATCATTGTTTTGTCTGTTCGTTGGTAGGTATGGGGCGAAATGGGTCATTACATCACATCACAGTTAGCCTTCATGCACCATTGGTGCCGCTTTGTCAAGCATTAATACAGCCAAAACAAAGGTCTAACAGACGTTCACTTTTGTGATTTGATTCTGCATCTTATGATGTCACATCCAGTCCCCTTTAAACTTAATTACTCAATGCTACTCAAGGTGTGAGGAGGGTTAAGGAAGGGGGCTGTAAGGATCGGGGGGTGGGGGGTCCTGCATTGGCTGTTGAGTGTTTTGTGGCAATTTGGGTAAATGCTGCTTGGACAGCAGAGATGTGCCGCTGACTGTGGCGGTCGTCATGCTGGTCATACGTAGGTATGGCAGATCCCAGAGCACGGCCCCTCACGCCCCATCTCAGAGCCCATCCTTACCCTGGACGGTCACTCCAAGCGGGTCTGCATCGTTAGCTGGCATCCCACGGCCCGGAACATTCTCCTCACTGCTGGTGGGTCACCGCCACCTACCCGTAGACATACCCCTTCCCGCTGCTGTCTGCCCATCTGTACATACGCATGCTACCCACGCTGCCCCCTGCTGTGACAGCAGCCCTCAGCACTCGCCGTTGTCCTGCAGCGACACCTACAGGATAAATGTGTTATACAGCTATGCCATCAGTTGGAGGGCCGTGTGTCAGGGCCAGTAAAAGCTGTCCGTCTGGTCTAGGAAATGACAACCTGATCATCATCTGGAACGTGGGCACGGGGGAGCCTGTGATCGCTATGGACGACCATCCCGACATCATCTACAGCGTGAGCTGGAACCGGAACGGAAGCCTCTTCTGCACCACCTGTAAGGACCGCCGGCTGCGTGTATGCGACCCCCGCAGGCAGGAGGTGGTAGCGGTGAGTAATCCGCATACGGTGCAGTCCCTCTGTCCCTGAAATGTCACTCCCTCCTGCCTGAGATGTGGCCCCTCCGTTTCTCCGTAGGAGCGGCTGGCCCCACACGACGGCATCCGGCCAATGAGAGCCATCTTCACGCGTGAAGGGAACATCTTCACCACAGGCTTCACTCGCATGAGCCAGCGAGAGCTGGGACTGTGGGATCCGGTAAGGCGCTCACGTCAGAACACACTCACATGCCAGGACACGCTTATAAACCAGGACACGGTCACACGCCAGAACACGGTCACACCCCAGGACACACAGCAGCACCCACCAGCTCCCACACACGTGTGCAGTAACACACAGCAACACACACCAGCTCTCACACACGTGTGCAGTAACACACAGCAACACACACCAGCTCTCACACACGTGTGCAGTATCACACAGCTACACACGCCAGCTCTCACACACACGTGTGCAGTAACACACAGCAATACACACCAGCTGTCACACACACATGTGTGCAGTGACACACAGCAGCACACGCCAGCTCTCACACGTGTGCAGTAACACACAGCAACACATGTCCCTGACGCTGCCCCCTCCCTGCCCCCCCCCTCGTACCCCACAGACCAGCTTTGAGGAGCCCATCGCTCTGCAGGAGATGGACACCAGTAACGGGGTGCTGCTGCCTTTCTACGATCCTGACACCAACATTGTGTACCTGTGCGGAAAGGTGACCCGGCTCAGCCCCGCCCATGACCCCACCCCCCCCAGTCTTCCATCACTTCTGTCCTCTTAATTTACAATCAACCCTCTTACTGAAGGACGTGACAGCAGAGCCCTCCTCAGAACCTTAAACGAGCAACCTTACAAACATCAAATGGGTATAAATGTCCATGTATCCCCCCACCGGCAGGGCGACAGCAGCATCCGCTACTTCGAGATCACAGACGAGCCCCCCCACGTTCATTACCTCAGCACCTTCAGCAGCAAGGAGCCCCAGCGGGGGATGGGTTTTATGCCCAAGCGGGGCGTGGACGTCAGCAAGTGCGAGATCGCCAGGTGGGGGCACATCCCGGCCGTGTGTGTGTGTGAGAGAGAGAGAGAGAGAGAGGGCATGTGTGACACTCTCCTCTCCCCCCCAGGCTGTACAAGCTCCACGAGAGGAGGTGTGAGCCCATCGTGATGACCGTGCCCAGGAAGGTCAGCTGCATACCTTCCTCTTCCCCCACCCCTGTTCCTGTTCCTCCCACCCACGTCTAACTTTGTCTTCCCCATCGTTTCATGCAAACTTCCTGTCAAGCCCAAAGATGCAAACACTGCTTCTGTAGAAGTTAATGATGCTTTGCACCTCGAACCCAGACCCACAGTAGTGTATCCCTGTGTTTAGGGCTTAGGCCACTCGGCTGCTTAATTGACTGATAACCCCCAACCCCCCCGTTTGAATTTTCATCAAAAATGCTGCAGTGAGATTGAGGTGTCTAGTAATGTTCCTTGTGAATAATGTGTCCCCCACACCTCATTGTGGGCAGTCGGACCTCTTCCAAGACGACCTGTACCCGGACACTGCTGGCCTGGAGTCGGCGCTGGAGGCTGAGGACTGGCTGGGGGGGCGTGATGAGGACCCCGTGCTGGTGTCCCTGCGGGACGGCTACATCCCTCCCAAGAGCCGGGAGCTGAAGGTGGCCAAGAAGAACGTGCTGGAATCACGGCCGGCGCCACGGCGAAGCATGTCAGCCTGCGAGACCGGCAGCAGTGGGGGCAGCGTGTCGGTGAGCCAGCAGGGTCTCAGACACCTTTGGCGTTCGGGGCCCTTAGAGGTTCAGGGCCCTCAGGGTTTTGGGGCCCCCACTCATTAGCCTCCACCTTTCTTGACTGACCTACTCCCACCCTCCTTTAGACTCAACTGATGGAGAAGCTTCTAGAAGAGGTTCAAAGCCTGCGAGCCACGGTGCTGGCACAGGAGAAGCGCATCTGTGACTTGGAGAACCGGCTCTCCAAACTCACCAACGGCATGCCCTAGGCTGCCCCCCTCCCCAACCCACCCCCCACCACATGCACTGTCCAGACATCCCCACCCACTCCTGTGACCAGTAAAGAGTTGCAAGCCCCCAGCTCAGGACAGAAAAAGACACTTAAAACCAAAGGAACAGTGTGATGTAAATACAACTTAGAATTGAAGCAAAAAGATTGAAAAGCTAATCAAATACCACTAAAAACCTACATGCCCTGCCCATACAGAGACGCCAATGGTAATTAAAAACAGCTTTTTATAATTTACTGGTTGTCTGTCCTGTTATGGGAGGAGGGCAGTGGATCGTAGCGATGCAGCCTGATGCATGTGTGGACCTTGGTCCAGTGTCTCCCATGGACATCACCTGCTCTCTCTCTCTCTCCCCCTCTCTCTTTCCCTCCCTCTCTGTCTCCCTCACACTCTCTCTCCCACGTCCATGCGGTCGTTCCATAGAGGGTCTCAGTTCACGTCGCTCCGCTCGCTCACCTCATCCTTTCTGTCCTTCCCTAGGGCTGAAAAGCAAAAGGCCGTGTTGTTTAAGTAGCTTCCGGATGGAGGAAATTAAATTTCCCTCCATGGGCTGTAGCGGGGGGGGGGGACGACACAGTGGGGGAACGCTGTCTGTGTGCTTCTTAGAGAACCTCCGCTCCCAGCCTCTGTCTCTACAGTCGTACACATCAGTTTTTTCCCTTAAGGATTGTGTTTCTGCTTTCTGCTCTAATATGTCGGGAGTTTTGGCGGGGGGTGGGGGGGCTGTAATTGTATTTGCTGAAGTTGACTCATTCAGTCTGTGGAAACACCCACCGCGGATTGGTGATTCATACTGGAGCAAACGGGAATACAGTTTCACCCCCCAAACATGGATCCCAGAGAGAAAGTTCCGGCAAATCAATAGTCACCTGCTCATTGCTGACTGCAGACCCTGGAAATCTTTTATGCACACACACACATGCACACACACACACACACACATATTCACACGTATGCACACACACAAATGTACACAAATGCACAAACACACACATATGTACAAACACATGCACATTTACACACGTGTACATATTCACGCGCACGTATGCACACACACACGCACACACACACGTACACACATGTGCATACATACACGAAAACACATAGCAGATCAAACCAGGAAGCAGAACATTCTTAAGCTACCAGGGCATCATTTTTACTGCCAGTTTATTAGTTTATTTCACTTTCTAACACGTCCGCACGGCATCCAAAACTGCAGTGTTTTCAACACTATTATTTTCTGTGGAAAGAAATTTTATTTAAAAAAAGTAACTGGTTCAAACACACTTTAAGAAAGAACATAAACAGACCGACAGACAATGGTAGTGAGTAATTGCTGATTAGTTTCTGGAATTTTCCGTGAGGCCCGGATCATCGTGACACCGCTATGGAGGCTGGGCCCCCTTGATGGCCTTGGATCCACCCGAGCTGATGACACACGGTCTCTTCGTTCATTTGGCTCATTAAAATTTCATTGTGTAGCTTCCAGTAGCCATTTTGACTCCACCCCCAGCCCATCCAGAAAACAAAATTTCAAGCCCCCCATGTGGTAGTGTGCTCTGTGTCGTGATGTCATACGAATGTAGCCACCGTCATGTTGCCATTGTTCATTGTTTGATTTGTATAACTATGTCTGTGGGACGCACTGGATAGGAGAACTGCCTCAGACCAGTGTAAGGCCTGTGCACACCCACCTGGCAGCTACGACCTCGTCAGGTTTGTTCAAAGGTTCAAGAGCAGACCACTCCTGAGCCTTTTTATTTTACCTATATATCTGTTTAATTTCCCACAAATGTGCAAGATGTGTTTGAACATGTGGGGTTTACTGTGTGTTGCTGTGAAATGAATTAGGTCAAATGTAAGCCGACAGATTATTGGCCAAAGTCTGCTTGGGACGCACAGGGAATTATGGGATATTTGACACTGCTGCCATTTTTCAGTAATATTCTCTGCCAATACGACTGCCAGTGTTTACGAAGAAGCCAAATCCACCAAGTATTCATTCGCGTAACAATCATAACAGCTATACGAGTACGATCTCGTTACAGTGCTATTAAGTTCTGTGCAAATGAAAACGTCAGTAACCGACCTATTAAAAAACAAAGTGAGAGAGGGCATTACCGTCCCTCCCATAGCTACCCCGTTAGTGAGAACCAATCGGTGACAGATATTATCTGTGTGCCATTAACGTTGCCTGCTTGTTAGGCCTGTATGTGCAGAGCAGCTTTGTTTCATACCCACCAGCTCACACACACACATACACACACACTCTTGTACAGCTAGCACCGCCCTGGTGGTCATTTGGGAAAGTACATAAAGAGGTTTTTGTTGTAAACTTGTTTGGCGGGTGCAGTGTGTGGGGGGGGCGAGGTGTATGTGAGTGTGAATCTGGGGGTAAGTTTGCTGGCATTGGTCATCCTGCTGAGCTGATACCTGGGTCGGGGGGGGGGGGGCTGGTGGGGATGGGAAGGCAGTTGGGGTAAAAGAGTCAGGCATTCAGCCAATGGCTTCTACAATTATTGGAAGAATCTCTTCTGTCACCTCCTCCTCCTCCTCCTCCGCCCATCCCATCTCGGTCCCGCTTCATCACGCCTCACTTCTCCATGAGCGACAGCTGGATGATACGCTGAAGCTCCTCCTCCTCCTGCCGCCGGCAGTGCTCTGCCTCCTCCTGCTCGCGGGCCGAAAGCTCCATGGCCAGCCGCAGCTGCTCATCGTAGCTGCGGGGCGGCTTATTGGTCAGTGTGCTGTGGGGGCTGGCCATGGGGCGGGGCTTGTGCTGTGGGGTCCTGGGTGAAAGAGGCACACAGGGACATTCTGAGCTTGGGTGTTGAGGAAGGTGGCAGACGCACGGCAGACTGGTGAGGGGAGTGAAAATACTAGTTAAGCATTTTAAAGACGTTGGGTACAGGGTTAAAAAAAGCTGAGATGGTATCCTAGCAACGGACAGGAGGCTGGTGGGATGCTTTTTGGGTGCCATGCTGTTAATTCTGGGGGTCCCCATTGTATGATGCGCTCATAGGAGAGAGAGGCGGAGAATACTGACTGCGAACCTTTCGCTGCGTATTGGGTCACATGACAGGGGGTGCGTCCCGGGCTTGCTGTTGGTCAGAGCCTCCCAGATGGTCACCTGTGCATGGGGGCAGGGTTAGACAGCACGGAAAGCCCACACAGCCGGCCCCCCCTGCACTAGGCCCCACCCACCTGGTCGTACTCAGACCCTGCCTCTAGCAGGCTCTGCTGGATGGCGAATTGCAAGAGGTCATCCTCTTCCTCCTCTTCATCACGTTGGTTGCTGCCCAGCATGCTGTAGCCCCGTGGGGCGTCAAACACACATGGCGGAATCTCGCCTGCGCGGCAGGACGCTGCGGGGGGTACGTGGGGGGGCGTTTGGCACAGCAGTAAGCGTTTACCGCGGATCCATACTAACTGCTTAATGAAGCCAGAGGATTGGCTGTAATGCTGCTCACCCGTGGAGCTAGAGCTGGAGACGCTGGAGGAGTCGCTGCTGGGTGAGGGGGTGTCTGTCCTGTCCCTCTGACCGCTGCCCTCCCCCTCCACACCACCGGGACCCCCGCCCTCCTCACAGCCATTCAGGTTGCCGAAAGTAATGCGTGCATTCAGGATATGGTAGATGGGAATCTCTGAGAAGGAAAGGGGGCACATTTCTACACATCATGGCTAGACACAGATGACAGTGTGACATCTGAAGATGAAGCTTCCCTGGGCCACACCCACAGCACCTCTCACCCGAGACCCCACCTCCCTGGGCCACACCCACAGC